AGAATTCTACATGCCAAAGACTAACAATAACAACAACACGACATCAAAGACAAATTGGAAACAGACATTTAAAACTTATGTCACAGGCAGAGAACCAACCTCCCCAATCTATAAAGGGCTTGTCACAAGCGAAAAATAGGCAAAGAATGTGAAAAAAAAAACGGTTCATAGGAAAAGAAACACAAATGCATCTTAAATATGTTAAAAGATGCCCCACTCTGAAGACAAAGGCAAAAATAAGCTACCCTGAAGTATTTCTTTTTGGCACTGGGGATTGAACCCAGAGGGCTTAACCACTGTGCCACATCCCCAGCTCTTTTAAAAATATTTTATTTAGAGACAGGGTCTCACTAAGTTGGTTAGGGCCTCACTAAATTGCTGAGGCTGGCCCCGAACTGGTGATCCTGCCTCAGCCTCCCAAGCTGCTGGGATTACAGGCATGTGCCACCATGCCCCACTCTGGGGTATCATGTTTTAACTGTGATACCAGGGAAACCCCTCAAGTGTGGTAACAGTGGTCGTTGGTAGGGAGCAGGGGACAGTATTAAAGGACATGTCCCTGGGGAGCCTTCCAGGGTACGAGCCCCCTTCTGGAACTTTATCCTACAGAGGTACCAGCGTACATCTGAAATGGCGTGAGTGCAGAGTTATCCGTTTGCCCCTCCTTGTACAATAAGCTTTTTAGCACAGTCCAAGTGGCCGCCAATAGGAGACCCATTAAGTAACACAGCTGTAACATACAGCGGGGGTGCTCTGGGACAGCACCTAGGAGATTGCGTGGGAAGCACATGCAGAGTGGAAAACTCCCTTTTGTGTAAAAAGAAGTAAAATGAGAATACGAATCGACCCTTGGGCATAGTTTTGGAAAGAAACTCTGAAGGGACGCACAGAACTAAAAATGGCCACCTGGGGGTTGGTGTGCCAAGTGGGGACAGTTTGGCTGCTAGAGTGGACCGACTTTTCATTGAACACCTTTTTTTCTATTTTGGTCTGTGTGAATTTACTATCTATTCAGTACTTTGAAAAGCTTAGCCTGTGTTTGAAAATTCATTAAGATTGTTCTGGAAGAATATGCCTGCCAGGTGGCAAGGCCAGGGGCAGTTGGGAAAGGGGTCTTACTCGTCATTTACACACTTCCGGAGCAGCGGGTTGTTGCTGTGTGTGTACGACTTCTTAATCAAAATAACTAATTATAATGATTATGTGAACATATTTCTGAATACCTTTTTAAAAAAGTGTTTACATGGGTTCCTCCGGGGAGTGGGACAGTTGGGGTCAGGGCAGTAGCTCCCTCTCTTCTATAGCTGAGTTTGTGGTTTCTCCTCTGTCCATGCTGGGGCAGGAGAGGGCTGGGCTGGGTGGTGCGGGAAGAAGGCAGGGCCTTGGCCTCTGGTCACTGGGAAAACCCTAGAGCGGTGGCCCTCAGGTGGGGGCAGAGGACTGAAGAGGGAATACCCGAGCTTGCCCTTATGGTGGCCCTTCAGTAGCTCCCCACCAGTGGGCTGCAGCCTGCTTTCTAGACATGAAGGAAATCTGACATTTTAGAGCCACTGTTTCTTTGATTTTCTGATGGATCATTGGGCACTTTCACATGGCCCTTGGGAAACGCAGTGGAACTTGAGCCCCAGAGAGCCGCAGTGTGCACCCAGGGAGGAGCCTCCCTGCTGACCAGTGGCCACCCAGGGCTCCCAGGACCCCAGTTGGATCTGAAACATTGTAGCTTCAACTGGGAAAGAAAAAAAGGAAGAACTATCAGTCAATTACAATGGAGCTGGTGCTGGTGGGGGTGGCGGGGATGGTGATGGTGACGATGATGGTGATGATTGTGGTGCTGGTGGTGCTGGTGGTCATGGTAGTGATGATGGTGGTGGTGGTGATGGTGATAGTGAGGATGGGGTGATGATGATAGTGGTGATGGTAGTGGTGATGAAGATGTTGGTGATAGAGATGGTGGTGGTGATGATGGTGATGATTGTGGTGATGGTAATGGTGGTGATGATGGTAGTGATGATGGTGGTGATGAAGATGGTGGTGATAGTGATGGTGGTAGTGATGGTAAGATGGGGATGGTGTTGATGATGATAGTGATGGTGATGGTGATGGTAATGGTGGTGATGATGGTGGTGATGAAGATGGTAATGATGGTGAGGATGATGATGGTGATGTGGGCCATCATGACTAATTTTTTTCTCTTTTTGTACCAAGGATTGAACCCAGGGGCTCTTAACAACTGAATCACATCCCCAGCCTTTTTTTTTTTTTAAATATTTTGAGACAGGGCCTCACTGGGTTGCCTACAGTCTCACTAAATTGCTGAGGTTGGCTTCAAACCTGTGATCCTCCTGCCTCAGCCTCCTGGGCCTCTGGAATTACAGGTGTGTGCCACCCCACCTGGCTCATAACTAATATTTATTGTGAGTCTCATTCATTTTCTTTTTAATCTTACTAGGTGAAGCAGAGGCCTCCATCTTAGAGACAAGGACCCTAGAGTCTAGAGAAGGGAAGTGAACTGCCTAAGGTCCTTTGGCAGCCGGCCTGGGTTTTGGTTTATTTGAAGGAGTCCTTAGCCAGGAAGTCAACCCCAGTGGCAATTCTGGTTCTGAGTAACAAGGGCTCACTTTACCCAAATTAATCTAATGAGACACCTGGAGGGCTTAGTGACTGTAATCTGAAGCTACCCACCTTCTTCCCCAAGCCTGCTTCTCCCCCAAGGGGTGTACCCCTAGGGGATGGGCCCCACAGGCAGGATGAGCACGTTCTTACAAATGTTGCAGTTCCAGGTGGGACCACCAGGTGGCGGAGCAGCTGCACCAAGCCCTGCCCCCAGCAGTCCCAGGGACAAAAAAAAAAAAAATTAAAAATTAAAAATTCCTTGGCCTGGAAGAGGAAAGTCAGTTGGAGATTCCGGGAGCCTTCTGGCAAATCCGGGAGGATTGACCTTCTGCTGTAAGCAAAGCCTAGGGTGTCCGTGACTGGCAAAGGGCAGGAAAGAAGAAAAAAATGCTAAAAGCATATGGAAGAGGAAGGAGAAAGGGAAATGGATTCCTGACTCCAGCAGCCCCCGGGGCCAGAGATTCTAGAAGTGAGACCCACCTCTCAGGCCGCTCAATCCCCGGGGCTTATTTTTAAATGGAACTGGGCCCAGCCTCACCCGTGCATGTTCGGCTGTGGTTCTGGATACGAGCTCAGGTGTGCAAACCCCAGCACAGCCACCCTCCATTGCAGGAAGTCGGAAGGCAGAGAGGCGTCCCCAGGTTGCGTCCAGGGTCCAGGCTTCTCCAGCGAGGACAGAGTTTGCCCCACGCAGGGCTGAAGTACAGGTGTTTGCACGGGAGGCCTGGCCTTTGGATGGCCGAGGCGGTGGTTAGGCCCAATTAGCTCCACTCCTGCGACCTCCTGTGCTTTCGTTTGACTTGGTTCCCTCTCCCTTTGCTATTTTAAAATTCAGAATGAGATCCAGCCCAGAGAGGCAGAGTAAGGAAGGAACCTGGCTTTGAAATTCAGGCCTAGGATCCGGACGCCCTGGCTTCCTGGCTGGCTGCCATCTTGGCCGAGTTCCCCAGGCCCTCTGGGGAGGTTCTCAGAAGTCCAGGGCCTAGACACCCACCCACACCTCACCCACACTTTCAGCACTCCTCAGACCTCTCCGGAACTGACTCAGCTGCCTTCCTCTCACACCCTGGGAGGTGACAGGGGGCTGGCCCTAATTTTGACCCAAATCCTGTATTCCAACTCACGGCTGGGATTTGTCCTTTGACAGGCTGGAGGGCACCCAGGGGCTGTCCAGGGGCATCAGAGAGAGTTTGGGCTTTGGTGAATGTTTTGAATTTGGACTCTGCTAGGTGACACTGGGCCAGTTGCCTGTCTTTTCTGGGACTCAGTTTCCTTACTTGAGGGACTTAGCACCATTTCTCTCCTGGGCCATCATAAGGAGTGACTGAGAGCCGTAGGCAGGAGCATGCAGCCTGCTTGGGCTGTCACTAAGAGGCACAGCCCAGGTGGGGCGATGGTGTAGGGCTAGCTTCACCCTCCTGGAAGCTAGCTTTGGACAACAGGTCACTTCCTCCCCGTGTGCCTGCTCAGCTCTGGCCCACAGGGGGCTGCCAAGAGATGCCAGGAAATGGTAGGTATGGTCCCCACCAGGGGGGACCTGCAGTCTAACTGCAGCAATCTGGAACCTCAGAATAGAAGCTTCCCCAAATAGCCCGTCTGTGAGCTGGTCTCCCGGTGCCACCTGGTAGGAGGTGCACACGGAGAGGAAGAGGGCCAGGCCGGAGCCCTCCCGCCAGCTGGGCGGCCAACCCTGTGCCCAGTGCCTCCTCCCCAGTGCAGGAGGCCCGGGCTTCCTGGGCTCACGGTTGGCTTCAGCACCTGAACTGATGTGGGGATGGGTTCAGGTCAGGTCAGTGATTTCCCGACTGGGAGGCCCCACGGAGAAGGTCGGGAAGGGTCAGGACGAGAGAATGAGCTCATCCAACCAGCGGGCACGCTGCACCCCGCTCCTCACACCCGAGCCTGGAGCCCACGCTGAGGTTAAACTTTAACCAACCCTGTGAGGCAGCAGTCTGGAGAGATTCCCTCACAACTGTAATTCAGTAACACCACAGCTGTGCGTCTTTTTAAAGAAATTATTATTATTAATCCACTTGACTTTTCCCTCTTGGTGCCTGAGAACCCGGAGGGCGGCTCAGCCCTCCCAGAGCCCGACGTGTTGGGCGGCTGGAGCAGACGTTCCAGGTGGCTGGGGAACTGTGGACATCTCTGCTGATGTCCCCTCTGTGGAGTGTTGAGACAACCGAGAGGTCACTGCTGGAGACAGGATAAGGAGGAATTCCCTCAAAGCCATTCCAGGACCTCTCCGGACTGGCTCAGCTAGTTACAGGACTACTGTCCCTCCCCGGCCTAGTCAGGGCGAGGGACCTGGATCTTGCATATGCAACTGGTCCCAAGCAGCAGGTCAGGCCCTTACCTGTCCACTGACCACCAGGGTCGGCTCTGCCATGGCATTTGAACAGCTCCTGGAGGGGACCGGGGGCATGGGCCTCTTCCAGGCCCTGCAGGTCTTGACCCTGCTGCTCCCGGCCATCTGGATGCCTTCCCAGCTGCTCATGGAGAACTTCTCCGCTGCCGTCCCGGACCACCGCTGCTGGGCCCGCGCCCTGGACAATGGCTCCGAGACCCCCACAAACCTCTCCCTTGAAGCCCTCCTGGCTGTCTCCATCCCACGGGGCCCCAACCAGCAGCCACACCAGTGTCTCCGCTTCCGCCAGCCACAGTGGCAGCTCCTGGACCCCAACGCCACGGCCACCAACTGGAGCGAGGCCGCCACAGAGCCGTGTGTGGACGGCTGGGTCTATGACCGCAGCAGCTTCACCTCCACCATTGTGACCAAGGTAAGGGACTCCCCACATCAGCCTGCTCAGCTTGCCTCCCGTGACAGCCACCCACCCATAGCTGAGGACCCAGTGGCCTGTGTCGCTGATGATACAGGACGTGCTACTCTTTCATGTTAAAGAGTTACTCGGTGATATTTGTTAAAGTGCCCGAAGGAAGACTTTACCCAGGACATTGTGATAGGGTCAGAGATTGGGCTCAGTCCAAATATAAATGGGCGACGTGTAGGCGAGGAACTGGGAGGACCAGTGGCTGAGGGGGGTTGTGGCTAAACCGACCTTGCAGGATTCCTGCCAAGTCAGGCCAGGCCGTCAGACGGCACTGGAGGGGGCGGAGGAGGCTGAAGAACCGCCAGATACTCAGAGTGGGATGTCCTTGCTAAACTCACTTGGCGGGTTCTTTGCTAAAATCAGATAGTGCAGGAAGTTCCCAGGTGGGCCTAGGAGAAGGTTCAGGAAAATGACCAGGGTTTGGCCCAAGCGAAGAATTTTTATCACTCCATCCGTATTTCCTGGCCGCCTGTGGTGACCCCCGTCTGGACCTGGGCTGGGTCACTGGTGGATGAGGAGGCCCCTGGGGGTGTCCCGTCGGCATTTCAACCAGGAGCGTGGGCAGAGCAGACCCTCCCGCTGCAGCTTTTAGGTGGCAGTCACTGTTCCCATGATTGTCTCTGGTCCCAACCTCCCCTCGGTCGTGGGGGGAGGGTCCTATGATGGCCTCCACCTGGCAAGCAAAGCTGTGAGGACCGTGCCGCTGTGCAGCTGGGTGACCCTGGAGCATTGAGGTCACTGCTAGCAGACCCGTCTCCCACGCCATGGCCTGCCACCAGGAGCTAGGGACCCATGGTGGGTGGCTGACAGTTGCCTCCTCCTCTTCTTCCAGTGGGACCTGGTGTGCAGCTCCCGGGGCCTGAAGCCCATGGGCCAGTCCGTCTACATGGCCGGGATCCTGGTGGGCTTCTTCTTCTGGGGCCTCCTTTCCCACCGGTGAGTCTCTCCTCCCCTCTGGCCTCCCTCAAAACAGAATCACAGAGGCCAAAGGCACAGAGGTACCAGATGAGAGTCCCTCTTCCCTAGGAGATGGAGCCCCTAGATCTGCCCTGTGTCCTGAGCTGCAGGGACAGAGACTCCCGAGAACCTGACATCTGAGCCTCCGTGATGTAGCCTGGACTGTGGGACTCGACCCTCGGCCGCGGCACCCAGCTGCCCTGAGCAGCTACTGTGAGCCAGGGGCTGTGCGCCCTGCCCCCGGGAGCCAACGGCCTCCTGAGAGAAACAGGCTCCTCGTTTTCTGAACTCCGGGCTCATGACGTGCAGTGGAACAGAAATATGGGCAGGGGCCATGGGGACAGGACGGGGTGGACTCAGATGGGGGGTGGAGGGATTTCCAGAGGAAGTGGCATGGAGCAGAGGCCCGCAGGGCAGACTGACAGAGAGGAAGAAGCCAGAGGGCGTCAGTTGTGTCCAGGGCTGCATTGCCCAGTGGTCAGGGCCATGTCCTGTGTCACACAGGCCTGCAGAGGTGGACAAAGGCCAGAGCCGGGGGACCTGCAGGCCTGGTTGGGCTGCTCTCCTGCCTCTGAAGTGACCAGATCCTGCCCCTCACACCCCCCAACGGCATTGTCTTGCGTGTCCTGAGATGGGGTGTCCCCTCAGCCCTCCTCCCTCAGGCAACACGGGGACAGTTCTGGGCCCACATGCTCCTGGCTCCTGTGAGTGGGAGGCCAGCTCTGCATGGGGGTCCCTGTCCCTCACAGCTGCTCGTCACCCCCGCCCCTCCAGGTCTCCTCCTCCTGCCTCCTCAGTGCCTCCACTGCCTGGCCGTCCCTTCCAACCCAGAGGCTGCTCTAGGTGTCCCTTAGACCTTGGCCAGGCTCCCCGGAGTGAACCCTCTCCCATGTCCACTGCCCCACCCTCAGGTCAGCCAGCTACAGGCCTGCTGCCCACGGCCGCTCCCCTCCCCCACCAAGCGGCCCTCACCTCCCCACCAGCCTCTCCTCTGCCCCTTGGTCCTCCAGTCCCAAGGCCTCCCCTGGACATGTCACGTGGGCCAAGCACCTGCCAGGCACAGGGACACACTCGGTCTCCAGGAGAAATGGGTGGGGAAGGAGGCGGGGAGGGGAGCACTCAGCTTGTCCAGGACACAGATGAGTAAGTGAGTCACCACGGAAAGGTACCGCAGCTACAGAGCAGACAGGAAAGAACCGGCCAGGACAGGGCAGATTTGCAGATGGACTGGAGCCTCCTCTGACCAGGTCACGTTTACGCTCAGACCTGAGGCTGAGAGGAAAGCTCTCCTGGATGACCTTCCTTCTCTAAGCTTCCAGAACATCCACACTCCTGGTTTGCCACCCGCCTACCAGGGAGCTCAGCCTGTCCCTGCCCATCCATCCCTCCCCAGGTGGACACAAAGCTAGTCCAGCCACTTCCACTGCCCACTGCTGACCATACCTAATTGGCCCTCAATCTAGAGGTCTAGGAGGCAGCACAAAAGCTCAGGCACTATCCCCCCCAACACCCCAACCCACCAAGGCGCCGTCCTGTCCCCAGGGAGCCCAGCAGAGTTGTCATTACTGTGCTGTATTGTCCTGACCACGGCAGGACCCAGGCAGCCTGCGAGTGGTCCGGGTTCCACACTCAGGGACTCCATCCCAGGACTCGCTGTGTCCTGGGGGCCATCTATACTGGAAGCCAAGCTGGGATTGATCTGTGGGTCTCCTGGTCTGGGCCTGGTGTCCACGCTCCTGGGTGCTGTGCAGACACGCAAGGCCAAGGTCTGCCCCCAGCTCCACCTGCTCAGTGTGCACTGCAATTGCACTGAATGAGTCGCATCTGGGGCTGGGCTGGTCTGGAGGACACGGCGAGCCCGGGCACCAGGATGGGGGTCGGCCTGGTCTCCTGGGACTTCCTGTCCCCGTGGGCAGGTGAGGACCGGGCTGGCTTGCCTAGGGCCATGTGCACTTGGCCTCCTTACTCCTACAGCCCCCTTGCTTGGGTTTTGATTTTCACAGCAAGCCCATGAGGCATGTCATTATGAACATCCCAGTGTGTGCCCAGGTCACCCAGGAAGGGCAGCGCTGGACTCAAAGCCAGGCGCATCTGACACCAAAGCCCACGTTCTTGACCACGGGCCGCACTGCCCCTGAGGGCACAGCACCTGGTGTATGGAGACCAGTACTCCGTGTGCACTCCCAGCAGCTCCAGAAGCTTCCAGAAGGCTTTGCACCAGTCTCCTTGACCTCGGGGGCCCTCAAAGGCAAGCGCTTTGCCGCGCGTCCTCGTCCTCCAGGCCCTGCTTGCTTGTCTCCCCAACAGGTTCGGGCGGAAGCCGATGCTGAGCTGGTGCTGTCTGCAGGTGGCCGTGGCCAGCACCGGCACCGTCTTCTCCCCGAATTTCTTCATCTACTGCAGCCTCAGGTTCCTGAGCGCTTTCGGGCTAGCGGGCATCATCCTGACGTTGTCAACGCTGAGTGAGTCCCTTGGGGGTGCCCCTGCCCTGGGGTGGGGGGAGGGCACACCCTCACTTGTGCGTCTGCATCGCCTTCCAGTGGTGGAGTGGACCACGACCCACAAGAGGGCTGTTTCCATGACGATACTGGGATGCACCTTCAGCACGGGCCAGATGGCCCTGGCCGGCCTGGCCTTCGCCCTGCGGGACTGGAGGGACCTCCAGCTGGCTGTGTCCGTGCCCTTCTTTGCCATCTCCCTGATATCCTGGTCAGTGCAGGGTGGGGTGTCCTCCTGAGGGGGACCCGGGGTGGCAGGGAGTCCCTTCCTCCCACTCCACTGCCCTGGCTAGCTGCGGTCCTGACCTGTGGGGAGCCCTAGATGGCGATGACATGAGCTGGGCCCTCCCTGCTCACCAGGCAGTTTCCGGTGACATTTCAAAAAAGACAAATAATGTTTCTACCTTTTTTTTTTTTTGAAAATGGGAAGATCTGGGGCCACCGGCCCGGAGTCCCGCCAGAGTCCCAGAGCAGACTTTGCCTTTGGGCTGGGCTGCGGGTGGCGTGACTTCCTTGGCTCACACCCGTCCCCAACACCAGGTCAGTCCTTCCAATCACTTGGCATCAAGTCATGAGGACCGACGTTGGCTAGGAAAACACATCACTGTCACTGTGCTTCTTGGTGCTGCAGAAATCCCTGAGGTCTGGGAACACCTGCTTGTGTGGGGACTGGGGGAGGGGACTCAGGAGAACAAATACAAATTAGTGTCACCGTAAGTTCTCTTGAGCTGGAGCCCGGCAGAGCCGGGCCCTGATGAGCCTGCTGTGGGCGGGTAGAGGATGACACTCGCCCTCAAATATTTACTGAGCTCCTGCCCAGACATCAGACCAAAACAGACAAAAAGTCACCACTGTCATGGAGTTTGTATTCTGTAAACAGGATTGACAGGAAGGAAGGCGGCCATCCCATAATTGTACAGATTAGGTCACCTTGGTCACGTGGGGCCGGTGCCTACCTGGTGTGGCTCACAACACCAGGGGCGTATCAACACGTCTTCTAATAAGGAAGATGAAGTTATTGGATCGGAACCCTGGCAAGCTGCCTCTTGAAACCACGGTGTCAGACTCCTCCAGAAGTCCTTCTCAGCTACCCTGCACCCGAGCCCCGGTGCACGGGGCAAATCACTAGGGAAATGCTTCTCCCAGCCCATCTGTCCCTGAGGTTGGGGAAGGGCAGTCGCTCAGTTCTGCCTGGGGATGTTTTAAATGAGCCTTAAACAAAAATGAGCTCAGTACCACGTGGCCATTCTATTAGAGAAGTGGCCCCCAAATCACTGGACAGGTGGCCACCTCTGGGGACCTCCCCTGCCCAGGCATCCTGGCCAGACGCACAGCTCAAGTGGGAAGGTTCTCGGCATCTGAGGGTGGCCAGGCATTGGGACCCAATTCTGAGCCTCCTGGCCTGGCACTGGAAGCACCCAAGAGGAAAAACCTGTCTGTCTTTGGTACCATCCAGCTGGAGGCCCGGCCACCCACTGCCCCTCCCCCCATGACCCAGGGAGTCCCAGTGGGGACAGGGACAGTCAAGTCCCGACCAAAGCACCTGCTTCCTCAACAGGTGGCTGCCAGAGTCTGCCCGGTGGCTGATTATCAGGGGCAAACCAGAACAGGCGCTTCAGGAACTCAAGAAGGTGGCCAGGATAAACGGCCACAAGGAGGCCAAAAAGACGCTGACCATAGAGGTGAGATGCCGCTGTTTGTGACCCACAGTGTGAAACTCGACCTGGGAAAGGACATCCACTGAGGTGTCCCCCTGTGTTATCAGCACCATCCCACTACGATTTCCCAACGCCTCCACCCACTCCACCAACAGCACAGCCGTCAGCATCTCTACGAACACCGACCTCCACACCGTCATATTCCCATCTCCACAGCCATGCAAACACCATTACCACCGTCACCGTCACCACCGTCACCATGAATATCACCACCATCGCCATCATCACCACTGTCACCACCACCATCACCATCACCACCACCATTATCATCATCACTACCATCATCACCACGATCACCACTGTCACCAGCATTACAATCACTACATCACCACTGTCACCATCACCACCATCACCATCATCACCACCATTACTATCATTGTCACCATCACCATCACCACCAGCACCATCACCACCATCACCATCACCACCATCACTATCACCATCACCATCACCATCACCACCATCACTATCACCATCACCATCACCATCACCACCATCACCATTGTCACCACCATCACCATCACCATCATCACCACTGTCACCACCATCACCACTGTCACCACCATTACAATCACTACATCACCATTGTCACCATCACCATCACCACCATCACCATCACCATCACCATCACCATCACCATCATCACCACTGTCACCACCATCACCACTGTCACCACTATCACCATCACTACCATCACCATTGTCACCATCACACCACCATCACCATCACCACCACCATCATCATCACCCCCATCACAACCACTGTTACCACCACCACCATCACCTTCACCACCGTCATCACTATCCTCACCATCATCACCCAAAACAAAACACCTCATTATCACCTGCACCACCCACCGCCAGCCCGCACGTGCTGCACACCTGCCTCCTGGCACTTCTTAGTGTATTTGGGGAACAGGTTGTGCTTATTTAAAGGAGGCTCTTTCCAGAAAGCAGGTGTCAGATGGGGACATGCTGCAGAGACTAGAGGAACCCTGAGCTCTTGGGGGTGGGAGGACCGAGCAGGCTTCCAAGGAGGAAGTCATGGTGGGGCTGAGATGAAGACAGGGTGGGCAGGACCAGAGGCACAGGAGGACAGGGTGGACACTCGGGGAGCACTGAGGAGTGGCTTGGCTACAGCAAGCCTGCCCTGGAGCCAGCCAGGGGACGGAGATGGACAGGGGCCAGAGGCCCCTCCTCCGCTCAGGCAAGGTGGCCTTGGGAAACGTCAGGGGTCCAGAGGGAAAATTCTCTGCCCCATGGCACCCTAGCACTGGGCACACCAGTGTCCAGAAGCCAAGACCATCTGCCCACCCCTCCCCACACCTGGACACCACTCTAGGCGTGAGGCAGGCAGGGCCATTGTCCCAACACCACTGTGCCCTGTTCTCCCTGGAGGTGCTGATGTCCAGCATGGAAGAAGAGATGGCCTCTGCAGAGGACCATGGGTCAGTGCTGGACCTCTTCCGTGTGCCAATGCTCCGCTGGAGGACCTGTGCCATGCTGATGGTGAAGTACGCTGTCCTGGTCCCTTCTCCCAGAGACAGGACGGGGACATGGGCTGGTGTCCAGGCAACACAGTGTCCTCAGGCCTCACAGGAGTGCCCAGGAGGCCAGAGGCCTGGCAGGCAGGGAGGGTGGAAGGGACCCAGAGGCTGGTTTGGGTTTGGCCAGCTGTGGAGCCAGCACTGGTCAGGCTGCAGCCAGGGACCAACCGAGGCTGCTGTGGGCCTTGGAGACTTATCCCAGCAGCTGCACCCCCGGAGGGCCACCGGGCGGGCATCGCCTCTCCCCTCAGGGCACCCCACTCCACGGAGGGGGAAAGTGGAGGCCAGCAGGCTCAGTAACCCACCCAAGATGATGGAGCTGGCGCTAGAACCCAAACTGCGCGGCCTCCCTGCACATGGGCTCTGTCACCACCAGGCCCCCTCCAGGGAGGCCCCGCCTGGGGCCCAGGGCCACCTGGGACCTGCAAAAGCCCCTTAAATTCCGTTGAAGTGACGTCCAACAGCTTATTAAGAATGAAGATCAGGTTTGATTAGAATTTTATTTTGAAATAAGACTGAAGATAGGGAAAAAGTTTATTTTGTGCTGTATATAACTACATACGGGCTATTCCAGCAAATGTTCACCACCTCGGACAAAGAATAGGATCAAATGCTTTTTAAACTCTTTTATTTTTAGCCTAATTTTTTCTGATAAATCAGGAGGAGGCCAACATCCAGGGCCACTCCCCACCCCCACCCCCTCCACCCCCGCTCAGAACACCTTGCAGGCTCCCTCCTTTCCGGCCAGTTTCCTCCGTTATGCAGACAGAGGCTGCGAGCCGAGACCCTCTTGGGTTTCAGCTGATAATCCAGCTGTTACCGAGGAAGGTTCCAGATCCATGAGTGTCCCGGCCACTTTGGGCCCCATTCATGCTGGCCTCAAGTGACACTTGCATAGAAACCCTGAGCTCTGCCGGCTTTGGGTCGCAGTAGTCGTGGCCAGAAGGCAGGGCTGAGGACAGCGGCCATCCTAAGAGGATGGGGACAGATTTTAAAAGGGGCTGGGGTTAATTTCACCTCACCGTGGGGCTGAGTGTAAATCTAAATCCCGCCTCCAGAGGGTGGAAACTCAGGTTCTGTGGTTCAGATGCCTGGGGACTCCAGGGCTGGGGCTGCCCCCGGGAGCCCACCGGAGAGGAGGGAGGCAGGCAGGGGTCTCGGGGAGCTTGGGGCTGGGTGGCTCTTCCAGCCTCTGGGGCTCTTGTGGGCCGCGGCCACCAGCTGAGGACAGCACTCCCGAGGGCTGGGAAACGGGCCCTCTGCCCTGAAGGAGCCTTGGCTGCAGAGTCCCCTGGGGACCCACCGGGTGAGTGTCCTGTCTTTCAAGACTTCAAGGATGTAGCATCTGGAGACCCGTCCGTGTGACTAGCTTCTAGAAACCAAGCCAGAGGGGCTGGGGGGCACTGAAGGGGCAGTGAGTGACCCTGAGTGACCCTCAGGGTCTCATGGAGACCCTGAGACTGGCCTTGGGACCAACCAAGACAGCGTCAGGTCATCCAGCTGGTCAGTGGCCAGGGAGCCCCGGAGGCAGCGCCCCAGCCCGTTGCCACCCTGCCCGGGTGTGGACTGGAGGCCGAGGCCTCCCTACCTCTTTCTGGGCAAGCCTGGCCCCGGGAGACACGTCCCGCACTGGACAAGCTTTTCGCGCTCTGGCCGTGGCAAGCTCTGATGGGCAGACCTCGTGGGTGGTGGGAGGTGACTCAGGGGCTGGGGTCCCTCTCCTCTGTGGGCCGGGACCCACCTCTGGCTCTGCCCGCAGCTTCTCCCTGCTGTTCTCCTACTACGGGCTGGTCCTGGACCTGCAGAGCCTGGGCAGGGACATCTTCCTCCTGCAGGCCCTCTTCGGAGCCGTGGACTTCCTGGGCCGGGCCACCACCATCCTCTCGCTCAGGTTCTTTGGCCGCCGCATAACGCTGGCGGGGTCCCAGGCCCTGGCCGGCGTCTCCATCCTGGCCAACATGCTGGTGCCACAAGGTGAGGCCCAGGGACCCGCTTCCCTGCCCACCCCACCGCACTGGCCATCTGGCCTCCTCCCCTCCCCCAGCCCCAGAGAGGAGCGTGTTTGTGGCCACAGTCACTGTCCGCCAGCTCTGACGGTCACACATCGCCGCCTTTGTTGCCGTGGCTTGGGAATCCAGTGCCCCCAGCCAGCCCTGCCCCCGAGGTTCAGAGAGGCCAAGCTGGTGCCCAAGGTCACTCAGCTAGCGAGACAGACGGGGGGCGGGTAGAGCTGTTGCTCACACTGAGGCGGAGAGAGTGCCGAGCACAGTGGGTGTGTGCGTTGTGCGAGCCATGTGCGTGCGTGTGCGTGTGTGCACATGCATTTCTTCTCTCATTAAACAGCACGTCAGGCGTGTGCAGGGATCTGGGGAGCTGCCAAGGGCCCCGTCTTCCTTTCTTCTTTCTGAATGAGGCTGTGAAGCCCCAGAACTGGGAGGGAGGCAGAGGATGCCCGCGGCAGCCAGGAGGGTCTGATGGAGGAGGAGGGAGACGGTGTCCCACCCCGCAGGCCCCAGCAGGAGCCCGAGCGCCCAGTGACACGCTGCACTGAGAACACATCCAAAGACCAAGCCTTTCCGTGGGATCTCACCGACACTTTAGAAGATTTTCCTATTTTTTTTCCTTAGGTGCTGGGGATCAAATCCAGGGCCTCACCCATGCTAGTCCGCGCTCTGCCACAGAGCCACACCCAGCCCTCGAGGCCCTTCGTGACCAGGGGTGGGAGGGGAAGTCGAGGCCCTTGGCAGAGTGAGCCAGACCGGGACCTTCTTGCCAGGCTCGTGCCACACCCCGCCCTGGTGCCTGCAGACAGGCCAAGGCAGTGAGATGGCTTCTGGGGCCCGGCACACCCAGGACCTACCAGGGGCCTGGTGGCCTCTCCTACACAGCCAGCTGCCCCCAGAGGCCCAGCCCACGGCCAGGCGACCTCATTCTGCACTGTCCCCACCTGGCTCTGGTGGCTGGCCCTGCATCAGCCCTGCCGGGGGCTGGCAGGAGAACGCAGCCCCCTGCTTCCGCCAGCAGCTCTCGGGGTGCCCCTCGTGCAGACCCACTGCCCCCTTCCTCTGCGCAGACCTGCAGACCCTGCGCGTGGCCTTCGCTGTGCTGGGGAAAGGATGCTTTGGGATGAGCCTGACCTGCCTCACCGTCTACAGGACGGAGCTCTTCCCAACCCCGCTGCGGTAGGCTGGGCGTGCCTGGAAGGGCCGTCAGGGTTAGGGCAGGGCGAGAGAGGGACCCCAGGAGGGCCCTGGGAGGGACCCCGGGATCCACAGCCAGGGCCGGGAAGGACCTCCCAGGGCAGGCGGACTGGGGCCTCCTGCCGGGGGCTTGCCATCCTCGGGTCCCCTCGGCAGACGGAGGCTGCAGGACCGGCCTCTGGAGCCTGCAGCAGCCCACGGTTGACAGTCGGGTAGACTGAGGCTTGGGGTGACAGACTCGCCTGGCAGAGGGCGGGAGCAGCTCGTGGGGCCACTGGTGGTGCGCCCGTTCTCCCGGCTGCCCGTCCTCTCCTGAGCGTGCTTTGGATGAATATTTACTGAGTTTGTGGCTGTCGTGGGGAAACCTGAACTCAGTGGCCTCCCAGGAGCGCTGAGGTGAGCCCCGGTCACCTAAAGGAATGACAGACCCTGCAGAGTCTCCTAAAAGACCAGATGGGAAAATCCAGGTGGCCCGTGGAGGAGGCAGCATTTTGGGCGGCCTTGAGGAGCGCCACTCTGCAGCCCTTCCCCGGCACCCCGCTGCTGCAGTGGCAGCCGTGACGTGGCCCTGGGCCCCCTTCCCCACAGGATGACAGCGGATGGCTTCCTGCAGTCGGTAGGCCGCCTGGGAGCTATGGTGGGCCCGCTGGTCAGGATGGCCCACCAGGCGCTGCCCCTGCTGCCCCCGATCTCCTACGGCGCCATCCCCATCGTGTCCAGCCTGCTTCTGTTCTCCCTCCCGGAGACCCAGGGACTGCCCCTCCCCGACACCATCCAGGACCTGGAGAGTCAGTGAGTGCCCGCGGCCACCCGGGGAGGGACTGGATGGAGCCGGGCTGGGGTTCAGCTCCACAGCCACCCTGCGGGGACGATGACAGGCTGCTCCCGCTGATGGGCAGAAAGGCAGGTGGGAGGGATGAAGTGACGGAGCCCAGGGTCCTGGCCCGGCTGCAGCTGCACCTTAGGCAGGAAAGGTGATGGCTAGGGACAGGCCCAGCCGCCAGCCAGCCTGGGGCGAGCGCCCAAGCAGGTTCCGGAACCTCTCACCAAAACCCACCCGAGAAGGCCCACAGCGTCTTCCCTGGTCCTGGTCCCCTGTTCCCACCAAGGCCAGGCCAGAGGGACGCACTGTGAGTGCTTTCCACGCCCCCGCCCCACCCTGCAGGAGCAGATCCTGCCACCTGCATACCTTCCTCCCGAGAATAGAAGGAGGGGACATTCCCCCACTCCGTCTTGTAGCCAGACCCCCCCCAGGGCCTGCCGAGAAGCCAGGTGGAGGTGCCGCAGCTCACCCCGCGGAAGCAGGGCCTTGATTCATTCTTTGACTTACTTCGCCGATGGCCCTTGCCTATTGTTTGAGCACTGTCCTGGGTTGGGGGACACAGCACAGGAAAAGCCCTAAAGTCGCAGGCTCCCCTTCCCTGACCCGGCCCCACCCCGCCCTCCGGGCTGCAGCTGCTTCACCCCCACTCTCCTCTCTGGACTATTCTAGGGCATCAGCTGTGGCCAGGGGCGACCAGCAAGAAGTGGTCACTCTAGAAAGCACCTGGCTCTAGAAATCTGCCGTGTGGAGCCCTTTGGTAAAAAAACTTTTGGGGACAGAGTTGCCTCTTCTCCCATCCGAGGGTGGAAGCCAGGTGGTCTCGCCCAGCCTGGCTGCCTCGGTCAGCTCCATGGACGCCGCGGGTCCTCTCCCTTCCCTGCCACGCCCACACTTCACACACCTACTCAGCCACCCCGACTGGAGACGGGCTTCCACCCTCACCCCCACCACTTACAGAGCCCTCATCTGTGAAGGGGAAATGATTTGGGGGCCTCCCTCCCAGCATGGGCCGGAGCTGGCTAAATGAGCCTGCTAGAGGAGGTGCCAGGGACAGGTGCGCAGGTCGCGTCCTGCACCAGCACCCAGCCAAGAGGCAGGTGGGGTCTGAAATCCAGCCCAGCCACCCTGGACCAGCCGCCTGCCACACAGGGGCTGTGCCACTCTGAATAAGGAACTGTTTACCCGTCCATCGGGGATCACAGGGGTGGCCAAACACGGGTCAGTTGGATTGACAGCACTTTATTAGTCACGCACCTTCACAGTCCAGGGAAGACGACTCCATACGGCACACAGAGGTCCTGCACCAAGGACAGCCGGGACTGTGGGAGGCCGGCATTGTCGTGCGGAGAGGGTGGGCTGCTCCTGGTTCCTATAAGTGGGTGTGATTGGCCTGTTTGCTGGTGGGCAGGGAACGGAACCCCCACTGGGGTAGAGGTGACAGGAACTGTACTCGGTGCCCGCATAAGGAGGGACCTCTCTCACATGCGACGCACACAGACCAATCAGTCTTACCTCCTCGCACTCCAAATCCATCTACTTCTCCTTCTCTGTGGCGACCACCTTGATCCATGCCTCCGTCGCCTCTGGTCCCGACTGGTCCCTGACATCCGCACCGTCCTCATACGCAGCCTCAATGCTTATTTAGAAACACAGTTCAAACCCCCTCCCTGCTTAAAACCCTCCAGTGACTCAGAATGCAGGTCACATGTCCCCCCCCCACAACAGGTCTCTCCTTGGGCAGCCCCTGAAGGTCCCCAACATGATCTCACACACAGTATAATTTAAAGACTTTAAATCAGATGAAAGATGTTTTGGGACCAGAAAGTCTCTTCAAACTATGTGACACAATTCTAAATAATCCATGAGTCAAAGAAGAAAGCACAAGCTTTAAGAAACTAGAAAAAAAAAAAGTTGATTCAACCTAAATTAAGCAGAATAAACAAAATAACAAATAGGAGAAATCAGAGAAATAGAAAAATAATAAAGTCAATGAAACCTAAAGTTGGCTCTTTGAGAAAATCAATAAAATGTTTAGACTTCTAGCTATGCTCATCAGGAAAGAGATAGAAAAGATGTCTACTACCAACAAAAGGGAAAGCAAATCCTACAGACTTTACAATGATAATCACAGACTATTATTACCCTATATACATGTGTGATTGCACCACTGGTGGGACTCTGCACCGAGTTCAGCCAGAGGAAGAAGTTGAGCTCCATTTGTATACAATGTGTCAAAATGCATTCTACTGTGATGAACAACTAATTACAATGAATTTATTTTATTTTTTGGTATTGGGGATTGAACTCAGGGCCTTTTGCATGCAAGTTGATTTAAAAAACAAAGAGAGATTATTATCTACCAATAGATTCAACCACTTAAGTGAAACTAACAGATTTCTTGAAAGACTCACCCCCAAACTCACTCCAGAGGAATATGTAACCTTGTTACCCCTGAATCTATTAAAGAAATTATATTTATGATTAAAACCTTCTCATGGAAAAAAAACTCCCCTCCTGGATGTTTTTCCTAGTGAATTCTGTCAAACATTTCAGCAAAAAATAATAGTCACTTGGGGGCTGGGTTGTAGCTCAGTGGCAGGGTGCTTGCCTAGCACATGTGAGACACTGGGTTTGATTCTCAGCATCACATCAAAATAAATAAAATAAAATAAAGGCATGGTGTCCATCTACAACTATAAGAACATTTTTAAAAAATAATAATAGTAACTCGACACAAATTCTTCCAGAAAATTGAAAAAGAGGTAACGCTTCCCAACTCATTCCATTAGCCTTGTATCACCCTGATGCTAAACCAGAAAAAGACAAGAAAACTGTGAACCAATATCGTCCATGGACACAGACACAGTCATCCTTCCTCCCTGCCCCCCATCTCTTTCTTTCTTTCTTTCTTTTTCCAGTTCTGGGATGAAAGGACCTCACTGGTGCAGGGCAAGCACTCTACCCCAGAGCCTCGCCTCCAGCCCAAGACACACAATGTCTTGACAGTGAGCAAGTTGGCTCCAATAACATACTGCAAAAAGGACATTATGGCCACGTGGACGTTACTCAGGAATGCAAAGTGGGTTTGACATTTGAAAATCAAGGTTAACAAATTAAATTCTAACAAACTTTTTAGGTTCAATAGATGCAGTAATAATATTTGACAAAATTCAAAATCCATTCCTGATACACAACACTCAGCAAATAGGCATGAGAGGGAACATCCTCACCCTTAGAAAGGACATCTGTGGCCCTAAGGAAGACACTCTGCTGCCCTAGAGGTAACACCACTTTTTTTTTTGTAGTACTGGGCATTGAACCCAGGGCTTCCTATGTGCCAGGCAAGTGCTCTGCCACTGAGCCACATCCCAGTGTCCACCTTTTCTGGGGGACAGTGTCTCACTAAGTTGCACAGGCTGGCCTTGAACTTGCCATCCTCCTGTCTCAGCCTCACAAGTAGCTGGAATTCCAGGCACAGGCCACCATACCCAGCTGGTAACCTCATATTTCTTTCCATAAGACTGAATGTGCGATCAGGAACGAGGCTAGGAGGTCCCCACTCACCACCTCAGCTCAACACTGGCCTAGTGAAAGCAGCAAGGCAAGAAATGGAAATAAAAGGCATACAAATCCGACAGGAGACAAAACTGTCCTTATTTGCAGGTGACATAGTTGTCTAGCAGGGACTAAAAATCTCAGTGTGATCAAAATGTCGATTCTCCAAAATTTATAGATAGAAAGAAATCCCAACGAAATTGACAGCAGACTATTTTGTTTATATTGACAGTCGCATTCTAACATTTATATGTAAATGCAAAGAATCTGGATTAGCCCAAAATAATTAAAAAGAAAGAAAGGGCTGTGGACAAACCTCAGTGATGGAGCTCACCTAGCGAGGGTGAGGCCCTGAGTCGGATCCCCAGCACCAGAAAGGTTTATTCATGTGACAGAGAGAGACCAGAAGCAGAGTCATGCACAAATGGTGAACTGACTTTCCAATTGTGTCCAAATCAATTAAATGAGGAAAGGATAATCTTTTCAACAAATGATTCTCAAACACTGGGTGGCCACATAGGTAAAGGGGGGAGGGCGGGGGGACTCGGCGCTAATTCACACCATAGCCAAAAATTAACCCTATCATAGACTTAAGTGTAAATATTAAAATTATAAAAATTTTTAGAAGAAAACTGGAGAAAATCTTAGCAACCTTGGGTTTGGCCAACATTCTTAAATACAACACAAAAAATATGAGAGGAAAAAATGATCCATGGAACTCCCTAAAAAGTAGAAACTCTGCTTTTCAAAAGACATTGTTTCAAAAATAAATTGGCAGGCCACAAGCTGGGGGACACATCCGAACACTCTGTGACAAAGGACTTCCCTTCAAGAAGCTGGAGGAACACTTCCAATTCAACAACAAAACCATCCCATTTTTATAACATGCAAAAGTCCCGGGCAGATGCCTCCCAAAGAGGATGCATGGGCGCCTGCCAATAGGCACAGGAAAAGACGCGACATCGCTAGGAAAATGCAAATCCAACCGCAGCCAACACCGGCTCGCGCCCACCCAGCTGGCGAAAAATGGAAAGACCGAGTATTGGAGAAAACATGGAACAACTGTGGCCCCGTGAAGTAGAATGGCCACTTGGATAAAAAGAGAGGCCATTTCTTAAAGGTTTAACCTCCAGGGCTGTGGCTGGATGGAAGGGGGCTCGCCTCGCCTGCGTGAGGCCCTGGTTCCATTCCCAGCACACAAGAAAAATAAGATTTAACATCCACCAGCAGAGGACCCGGTCATTCCCATTCCCGAATATTCACGAGGATAAACTGAGCTTGGCCCAAGCAACAATTTGTATTGAATGTTCATAGCGACTTTATTTGCAATGACTGAGACCTGGAAGCAACAGGTATCCATCAACAGGTGACTAGAGAAACAAAGGTGGACACATCCACACGGTGGAATTCTATGCATATGTTTTTATGCTCACACACAATTGGGTGAAACGAAAACTGATCTTCAGCGATCAGTGTTAGAGGCGTGTTTAGTGTTCGGTGATCCATCAGTGTTTGCCAGGATTAGGGGAGGGGAAGGACAAACGGCCCAGGGAGCTGGACTGCGGAGGGAGATGTCTGTGGCTTTGCTCGTGGAGGTGGCTTCGCGGGTGTACACAGGTGTCACATGTATGGTTGATCATACTGGAGAAATTGATCCTTGGGCTGGAGTTGTGGCTCAGAGGTCGAGCACTCGCCTAGCATACATGAGGCACTGGGTTCGATCCTCAGCACCTCATAAAGTAAAATAAAGACATTGTGCTCACCTATAACTAAAAAATAAATATTTTTAAAAGAAATTTATACATTAAAAAATATGTTTTTGGTGCTGGGAGTGGAACCCACGGCATTACACATGCTGAGCAGGTGCTCGACCTCTGAGCTGCACCCCCAGCTCTGTGTGGGTCTTTTTTCCAGCCAGATCTGGCTGCAGAGGAACAGGCGTGGGATTCAGGATGCCCACAGTGATGACGCTAATTAAGGTCCCCAAGAGGCTCGGCAGTATTGCTGTTGGTACCCTTCGATATTCATGCAGTGGAGCCTGAACCTCTGGATGTGATGATGGCCACCTTACTGACCTTCCCCAAAGCCCTTGAGAAAAACGTTGCAGAAATCCAAACGGAAGATCTTTCTACAAAATACCTGAGCACTGTTCTTCAAAACCGTCAAGGTCAGGATAAA